CGCTCCTGGCATAAGTCGCTGAGGCCGAAGCCCTCCATCATGGAGACACTCCTTCGTCTCGACCTGGTCTCTGACAAGAAGCCTTATGATGAAGAGAAGAGACTAGGGGGGAAGTCCAAGTCAATATACAAACTGAGGTACATCCAGTGTAACCTACATGTGTTATAAGCACAACTAACTAAATATGATTGGCCCAGAAGGAGTGGCAGCTCAAGCGTGATATTAATGAATGAGGAAATAGACAAATGGTTAATATCAGCAAACCTTGCCAACAAAAGGAAATAAGGAAACAAGGAGTGGCAAAGGGGGAACAATAGTCCACAAGTGAACAAAAAAAGAGAAAAGGCCATCCAGCTGGTGGGCAGATAACAATGAACCACTCAAATGGGCAACCTTGGTTGGGAGGTATGTGCAGGGGGAGAAAGTGCAGATGAGGGTGATGGGTGGATGGGTGGATGGATGGATGATGATGGTAGTGGGTGGGGTGGGCCCAGTGGCACTAGGATGCATTGACGGAAGTGGTGGATATGCCAGGTCATGACAGAGAACCACTCACAGTGTGTGCACATGTGTGATGATGCACTAGGGTCCACAACCCACTCAGATATCTGAGTAGGACCATATTTTCTCAACTGCAGCATGTTCTCCAGCTAGGAGAACATCCACTTTAGCTTCCTTCTTGTTGTCTTTCAAGGGTTTCTTGGACTGTCCATTGCTGGACTTTGGCAGACATTGTCCCTCAGATCTGCCCTCTTCAGCCCAACACTGTTCAAATGTGTGGCCTATTTTGTTACACTTTGGATTAGTGCAACGTGGGCAGTCTTTACCCTTCTGGGACTTCTTTCCTGCCAGTTTGTTGCCTTTCTCTGGTAGTTTCATGGATTTAACAAGCAGTGTGGCTGTCTCAGCCTCCTTACTTTTAATAGATTTTTCTTCTCTGATGATCTGGCCTATGAGGGTTTCACAAGCTGGTGTTGATGCATCCTGAGTATTGGCTATAGCTATAGTCTTGAGTGGTTCATATGCAGGTGGAAGAGCTTTGGCAATAATCAGTGCAAATTTTGCATCTGTTATAGTGTCACTGAGTGAATCCAGTTGTTGGCGCAGTATCCGCATCTGATTGATCTGAGGCTCCAAAGGTTTGGAGTCATCCAGTTCAATGTGGTGTAGATCATAAGCTAGGTCCGAGGCATCCATTTGTCTGACAAAGCACTTCTTTAATGCTACCCAAGCCTCTTTTGCGCTTTTCTTGTCTTTGGCAACATTAAGTGGGTTTTCTTCAAGCATGAGACAGATCTGCGCCAGCGCTCTCTCATCCTTTTCATCCCAAACTTGGGTAGGGTCCGGAGAGGGAGCTGTAGACATTTGCGGAGCAGCAGGAGTTTGTGAAGCCATGGGGGATTGTGGAGCAGCAGCAGAAGTAGAGATAGGAGTGGGGCAATTAGAGGTTGTTGCCTTAGGGTTTGCAATGCTCCAGAGTCCTCTGTCTATGAGGACCATGCAGCAGCGGATGGACCAAATCCAATAGTTCTTTCCATCGTTCTTCAATTCTTCAATGTTATGAACACTTTTGGTATTATCATTTGAGTTGGCCATCTCTGGGCTCATAACCTTTTAAATATAAGGCTATGGCATGTGAGTATCTCAGACTCATGTGAGAGATCTGAAATTCATATGTACCTATGGTGCATACATGTCTGCACCAACAGTTAGACATTTTTGTAAAGAACAATAAAATCTATCTCACCTCAGACTCATGTTAGAGATCTGAGGGAGAGGGAGTCCAAAAAACTCCCTTCTTATATGCAAACTACGCCAGTGGCGAGCCCGTCACATAAAGAAGAAAAATGGGGGTGTAAAGTTCAACCCCCAAACCTCACTTCCGCCACCAACAATCAACCCCATCCTCGCCACTCCGTCATCAGAACCGATTGTTGATATTCCAACATCCTCAACCCTGAACGCTGTTAGATTATGAGTATGGCCAGAATGGAAATTAATTACATCTGTTAGCTATCCCTACATGTGATCTGCATGTGACAGTATAGTCCGCTGGCTTATGCAACTCTAACAGATGCGTCCCTGACACAATGTGCAAGTGACTTCACCAAATCAATCTGATGGGGACATCATGAACATTAATTGGAGGGATCCAGTCTGGGTACGCATTTGATCAAACTCGCAAGCAAGAACAAACATCAGCGAACCCCCGAAGTTGATAAAAGTGATAGGAAGCACTTTAATCACTTCTATTTGTCATACCAATGTAATCTATGCATCGATTGAGACTCAAGCAGCTCAATCACAACAATCTAAATGTACAATTACGTACTTTCCTTCCCATGCATGATATGTGAAACCATGGCTTCAACTAGGTTAGGAAATACGCCTATTTGCATCCGATCAACTTCACAGGTTGGCTCCAAATGAATAGCTTCGTGGACTTAACATTTTTTTCACTCAGTGACGGTGACGTGGCTCTTATGCATCACTTCTAGTTCTCCAGGTAGGTCCCTTATATTTCTTTCATAGTACATATTTTCCAAGTTACTCATAGCACTCTATGCATAATTACAGGTTGTACGAGCTGCTCAGCCATGTCTGGTGAGTGCTACCCATTAGTACATGTTCACGCACTAATCCCTCATCACCTAAGGGACCTGATAACTCGCAGAATCACCCATCCCACAACTCCTGAATCCAACCATTCCCCAAGTCCCCCATGTCCGACACACACCCAGAATCCTTCGATGAACTGGGCCTTGCCCCTTCAACTTTGTTTACATTTTGTATTATGTATTTATGCACAGTACATAGAGATCGTGAAATCTGAAATATCACTGCAATCACCCCTGAATTTTAAGTTGGAATTGACTCGATATGGCCTCTTGTAATCAGGGGGCCTTCTAGAATGATATCACAATAAAAATGATTCCTATCATTTCTATCAACTTCGGTGGTTTGCTGATGAATGCTTCAAGTCACCTTTGGCATCCGACCTTCATACAAGAAACGTGAGGATTCAGAGCAGCTGGTGAAGAGTATGAGTCGTAAATGTGAGCGTGGTTACCATTGGGACAAAAATCATTGCATGCCAACAATATTTGCAGATTTAAAGAAGCTCCGGAGTCAGCAGGAACGACAACCTAATACAACAACTACCAACAAACTGAGCCTACACCCCAAAGTGAAATCATAACTGCGGACAACCTGAAGCCAGTGAGTGTTGACAATGTGTTGGCTGTAATCCCCATCACTTCATGAGTGTGTGATTCCCCTTGTTCTATGAAATCAGTATCTTAACGACATCAACAGCAAAAGTGCTGAGCATCCGCAGATGGACACACGGGTAGCTCATTATCCACCACGTCAAATTGCACCATGAGTGATTGCCATCCTCTACATGAACTGTGACCGTGAACAATCATTTCATCAGTACAGCACAATGATGTTCTAACTGGCAGGCTCGATGTATATTTTCTTGTATCTACCTAGCATGCGTGCTATGGTACGTAAGTTAATCAAAATGATTGTGAACAAGAAAATGAGAAGTTGTTTGGTAAACTGAGGAAAGATATGGCAACTACGGTTCACAAGCAAAAATTCAACCAAGAAAACCGTGAAGAGTAGTGATTGCAACCTCCAGTCAATGGGATCAGCGTTGTTTCCATTCATATTTCCACTTGATGTTCCTGTATTACTGGTGGTCCCGCATGTGCTTGAATGGGTCTGAAGACTTGCTGGTGTGAATATCTCACCGCATGCAGCACAGGATGTCACTCCTGTTGAACCCAACCGGGCATGTGCCAAGCGTGAAACCCTTTGGCGTTCTTCATATGTGATGGAATGAGTCAGAAGCATCTCATGGCAGCGGTGCAAAATCTCATCAATTGATGGTGATGGCAAGGCGAAGGTGAGTAAGGAATATAATCTGGCAGATTGGGAAATGACTGGGTTGGCGACGAGGGGGGGTGTTGAAGTTATAGGGCCGATAACAACCTGACCACATAGGGATCATCAACGGAGGCCTATATATAGATTAAAGCTTGAACAATACTCACCGATATGGCCGATACGACGAGGGGGGCGGATCCATGCGGTACCAATAAAGCCTAATGCTCTACTGTGAAATTGAAAAGCCGAAACATCAAATAGAGTCCTTACTTTGAAATCCACACGGGTCAAGCTGACAGATTGCATATCAGGACGCACCTCTGTGGGCACCGTCAGACTTTCTCATTGGCCACAGAAGAGTTCCAAATACAAAAACAGTATGGGCGAGAATGATGCTGAGGATATCTCCCAGCATGGTCATTGAGCTGTGATGGAGCGCCTACTTTTCCACTTTGGTACTGCGGCCTATAGCAACTTAGCTCAGCAAAGGTAGTACGATATATGGACACACCGATCCCAATCGACAATACATCCTTCCTCAGGAATGGAATCCTGCTGGCACTTAGTTGAGGGGGAGTTGGTAAACTTGTTTTCTGTCCATTTTATGAGCCACTGTGGAAAAACCTTTTATGGCCATTACTGATGGTGGAACAACTTACTGTCGATCGGATATATCATCACCATACCCCGAATGAGCTCATCCAGGAAGTCGACTCGGGAAGCTTTAAAACGGCTAAAATCCCACCACTGATGTCACATATTAACTAGTGGCAGCAGTATCAGCTGTGCGTGCATAAAGAGCTTTCTCTATTCGATAGCGTTGGGCGGACAAAAGAGTGGACAACAGCAGAAGAAAATTCAACACGCTGGCTTGGAGTGTAGAGCCAGCTGTTCAAAGCGGCGATGCGATGCGTGAATGAGTGTGCAACACGATGACGGGAAAGCCACCTGACGAGCGTGAGAGGTGTCAGAACCAAGAGTCATGGTATTCCGCTAGGCAGGTTACCAGCCTCTATTAGAATGTATTCCGCAAGGGAAGTTGAGTTGTGGCGGAGGCACGCAGCCACTAATGACTCAGTTCGAACTCGTGACCAAAATGTTTGGATCCGTAGGCCAGCCTGAACGACATAGCACCCCCCCTCACAGTGGGGATGGATCGCCACGCGCCACACCCAAACGGCCCGCCCTCCCACGACATTGACCTGAGAATCCGTGCCCTTACCACGATCCTGTCAATCCTTGATCCTCAAGCTAGCTCTCCTACCCGAGGCCCCTCATCAATCGAGTTCAAAATTGCGATGCATATTGCCACGCTCCTCACCCGTGGTGCGGACAAGAAGGAAGACATGATGAGGCCGAACATTCGACCGATCGCAGTCGCTACACGGACGACGGTGGATTCCGTGAATATCCTTGCGACGATTGATAAAGACAACAACGAATATCCAAATGCCCCTGAGAGTGGGCTCTCAAACGATTTTGTCATCAGGCAGAACCCCACATCACATGGCGATGCATTTGGTGTCACTGAGATCGAATCTAAACATCTAGACGACGTCCAACTCGACGAACTCTTGAGCAGGTGATCAGCTCCCCTTCTACGCGTCGCCCTGATTCATGATTACCATTGCATCTAGTGACCGCTCTCCAGAGGATATCACTCTGAGTCAGCATGCAGCAGACGTCATGTCTTTATTTAACAATATCCGCACCGTACGGCAAGGTGGAACCAAACAGGCCGATATCGTTCAACGTATCACTACATTCATCGCTCGGCGATGTGCCCCGATCATCTCCCATCGACTCCGATCCGACAAGTTCATCTTTCAAGACACGACATTAGATAAGATTCTCCAAGGATGGAAGCCCAGCGACAGGGATCATTTTGTGAAGAAGGAATGTGAAATACCAGAACACCTTATTATCCTATTCCGGACGATGGGCATCGAATGTCGAGAGTCCGATGGGAAATATTTTGCACCATGGACGAAGGACATAGCTCCAGCTTGGATGGAAACATTTCTATCGTGCCTATCATTGTGCAAGGATTGTTTCAAGCTAGACGGCAACAGAGTGGCACGCGACACCACCACGGGCGCGATTGCTCTAAAATTGCTCCAAGCATTGGTCACATCAGAGGGGTTCAAATATCTGCTTGAACTAAGGTCTGTTAGTGCTATCCTGGACCGAGAAGTGTTCAACCGTCGGCGAGGTACAACAGTTTTTTAATTTCCATTGTCCCCACGATCTAAAAGCACAACCTCTTCATCAGCTCGCTCCAATACTGAAACCCCAGAAGACTCCACTGATCCCCAAAGGCAGACTCTTGACGACACATATGGCGACAATTTAGAGCTCACTGCTGAGACAGAAGAGGACTCGGTCGCTCTTACCATGCGATACCTTGGTAATGCCGTTGCATGGATCACTGCGACAGATTTCTTATTTTCCAGTTCACGTATACGACGTACCCCAAGGCTTCGTCTCCATCTCGCGATTACAGCTCCTCCTGTCGAACCGGAAGCAATGGCAGATGCACAACCAATCTTCACCCATATATTCAACAAATCCCTTCAAGACCGGGACAATCAGTCCAAAGTTCGCAACTTGATTGTGCATTCATGGTTGGAGGAATTTGCTCGGAAGCTTCCGAAGCCCAAGCAGTTTCATGGTACAGTCCACTGTGAAGCATCTCTGATGGGTGCCATTGTACAGTACAATGGCCAAGGCAACATGCAGAATATCCGACTTCCGGACATATTTCATGTAAGTTGTCGGTGTCCTGCACCGTTGGTTACATGCCACTAATCTTTCTTTCGAAGAGCACTACCAATAAGCCAAGGACAATTGGAGTTGCTAAAAAATGTTGCTGGTGCTGCAACATGCTTGCAACCCTCCTGAACTCAACAGATATCCAGTTCAGCCTCCCAGGCTCACATGGTCGAATATTCCCATGGGCCCTTCCCAGGATTGGAATATCTTATGAAGTTGCTTGCTCCCTTGAGGATAAGCTTCAAAAACAACTGTCACTGGCAATTTGGAAGAGGGTGGACAAACTAAAACATATACCTGAAAGCCAGACAAGCAGCCCTGGGGCACTAGACAGCAGTGGTGGTGGGCTTGCAGGTAATTGGGAGGAAGCAATGAAGGAAGTGCAATGTAGATTGCACAAAAAAAATTGACCTGTTTCTTTGGCTTTGAATCCCTGTACCAGCCAAACTCTCAATCCTGATCCCATGCTATTTGTTAGAATGCGCGGATTCGGATGACTCTGGAGTGGAATCAGAGACTTAGCATGGAAGGACCTCGGCCTCAGCAACTCAGGTGGAGCGCTGTGCCATTGCTGGTTGTCCTGGGGGTCCCTAATTTCGGATCTAGCAGAGGGAAAGTCTCTTGGGGGAATTCATGTCGATTTCGGACTGAGGTTACAAGTTACTAGGTACATTGTATATAAGGAGGGGTCCGGAATCAAAAGGAACAAGGGTAGGACAAAAGGAGACAAAGGGAGATGGAAAGAGGAACAACACCGAGGGTCAAGTGTTTGACTCAATGGTGTTTCCCAAAGGAGGAATGAAGGGCCAAGGCCCAAGAAGGAAGGAAGGAGGATGGGAGTCGGGAATGGCTAGCTGACTGAATAGAAGGAAGCAGCAGCCCAAATAGGAATGAGGGAGAATAGCGGAATTGAAATGGACAATGCAATAGTTGCAAGGTCCGGAGTAAGTCCGGAAAGTCCGAACTCGGAGGTTAAACTCCGGAATATTGGCAAATGTAATTAAATGGAATGAGCTAACCAATACAATGGGTATAAGCGGAGGTGGGGTCAAAGTCCGAGGTCGGAGCTAAGACCAGAGGTTCCGGAGATGGAGACGCAAACAGGATTCCGGAGCAGAACCTGGAGTCGGGAGCATAGGTGTTGCGTACTCATCTGGAAGGTGTTGAGGTTGGGGTCGGACCTGGAATGTTCCGGAGTCGGACCGAAGGTGGTGTTGGAGCCAGAGGTGGGATAACCTCTTGGGAGTCGGCAAGGAGAAGGTGATAGAAGGGAAGTAGGGCTCCGGAGTTCGTTTCGGGGTTCCGGGAGCCCGGAGCGGAGGTCGGGATTGTATGGATATGACACTATTACAGAAATGGGTTCTGGTCCATTCTTGTAGTCTTCAATTTGATGTAGTTTACCCCTTGTAGTAGTTATCCATCAAAGTTGATGAGCTATCTGGAAACAGGGTGGTAGTGTTGAATGACAGTTTGGTCATGGAACCTTGGCTATCTTTCATAATGGGTTCCAGTGTCAGATACATGCAGTGTGTCAAATACCATATGACTGATGCAGATGCAGGTTCAACTAGGGGGTTCCGGGTGCTAGTAGGGTGCCAGGGCTACTTCGGAGTCTGTGTAGGGTACAAGATCTGTGAAGGATGTGGCCTCAGCAACTCAGTGTCAGGGCAACCACACCTGACCATACAACCCCAGAACCACCTTCCCCGACCTCCCCCCACTTCCCTCATCCTCCCATCTTTACACACCTTTCACAACTACAGCCTGCACACGAACCCGCAGGAAAAATCATGTGGGTCAAGGTGAGCAACTCGCCTTAACCCATGTGACACCTTTTCTGCATTGCGGGGACATGCTTGGCTCCTACCCTTAGTCACATTGTAACGGGTCTATCCAACTAGACTCACACCAGGAAAGAGGGGGGATAAGGATCTCACTGAGGGTCAGGTCTGAATGGGTATATTGGTCCAGTCGGGTCTGGTGCTGATACTCTCTACCAAACTGTACAGCAGGTCACGGAAGAGTCTGATCAGATAAGGAAAGAACATCACATGACAATAAGAAAATGGAAACATCGGGCTCTAGACACTGGATATGGAATCAGAAAAATAAGGAAAAATAAGGAGTGTGTATGAGAAGTGGGTGAGAGTGTGTGCTATGTGTCTAGGATTGGGGAGCTTGTTGAGCATGGTAGAATCGCGGGATTTGGCTCGTTTATGGTACACCGGCAAATCCCCGTTACAACGTTACGAACTGTACAGTACATTTCCCTTTTATAGTAGCCAAGCGGGGAATAGGGAAACTTACCCTTCTTCTCAACTCAATCCCCGCTTAGTGAGTTTGAGGAGCTTGGGGTAGGATCCAGCACCTGGCTGCCTGGGACACCACGAGTGTCCAGTTCTGAGGTAGGGCCACCCCCGGACAGAGGCCGGGCCCTGACACTCAGGCAAGGAGTGCTGTGCCTCTGTTAGCTTAATTTCATGAGTGAAAAGTTATCTTGTATGGGGGGGGGGGACTTTTGGTCAATATCAGAACTAAGGTACAAGGTTTACTAAACTACATTGTATATAAGTGTTATGGAAATGGGATTTTCCCATTTCTAGCCTCTTATGGGCTCTATGCAGTACAATATCACGTGACATGTAAATAATAACAACTTAACCAACAACAATCACCAAAATCCACACTTTGTTAATGTCATTGTAAAGACAACTGTTAAACCTCTGTTACATTAACTGTAACACTATTTCGATGTCATGGCCACTCCCTGCACCCAGATGCTATAGAAATGGGCCAATTAGGCCCCATTTTTATAACAATAAGGAAGGACTTAAGATGGAGTCCAAATGGTACTGAGAAGTACTGAATGTTGAAATCCTTGTTTTCTTGGTACGCTGTGGACCGTCCATTGAGTCCGTCGGACTATACATCTTGCGCACGGGCATTTCCATGAAGGATTGCCCGATGCTTCTACTTTTGGCATCCATGTTGATGAACGCAGTCGAGGATGGCTTAAAAGCCACCTCGCGCGAATTTTCTCTTTCCTCTTTCCTCAGTTCACATCTTTGGAACTGAGGTGAGACTCCCTTTTCATCACTTGGAATATTGTCTAATCTTGTACATATTTCCTAGTGCTAATTCGCAACTAGGTAATGACTAATAATACAAGTTCACATCTTTGGAACTGAGCGCTAATTCGCGACTAGTTCATAATTTCAATACTGAAAGTATCAGGGCAGGTCTTGTGTCTAACCTGAACAGAGAACCCAGGTGTTGGGTCAAGGAGGGCAGCTGAAGGATTAAATAGGAAACAGGACATGAGTAACAAGCTTTGTGTCAAACATGGGTGGTGTCACTCTAGGCTCCTGGAACTCTGAAACTGACTCCAGAGCCCCACTTCCCTTCCCCTCCTCCTTGCTGACTCCCAAGAGGTTATCCCACCTCTGGCTCCAACACCACCTTTGGTCCAACTCTGGACCATTCTGGGTCCAACCTCAACCTTGACACCTTCCAGACAAGCATGCAACATCTATGCTCCTGACTCCGGCCGGACCTCCACTCCGGAATCTGTCAGGGCACAGCCCCCGACCCCACACACCTTCAGGTACCCTTCCCCCATTTTCTCCTATTTTTCCCTTCACTGTTCCACATTCCTGCATGCATGCAGACCCGTGGGAACATGTTACTCGCCCAGAAACCATCACAGCCACAACCATGGGAACTTTCTGGGCAAGCAGCTCGCCCAGAATCTTCCCACGGGGGGGGGGGGTGCCAATTATGGAAAGTCAGCAAAGAGCCCGAAACTGTATAGTTCCCGACTCCCATTTGTAGCGGTTTCACAGGAGGTTGAGAAGGTTACCCTTTTTCTCAACTCATTTCCTGTGAAGGCTGGGGCTAGCCCCCTCAGTGAGTTTGAGGATCTCGGACTGGGACTAGACACCCCAGCAACTAGGAGGATCTCCCTGGCCCTGTCACGGAACGAGGGCCGGACCCTGACAGAATCCCATTTGCATCTCCATCTCCAGGACCTCCAGTCTTAGCTCTGACCTTGGACTTTGACCCCACCTCTGCTTATACCCATTGTATTAGTTAGCCGATTCCATTTATTTACCTTTGCCAATATTCTGGAGTTTAACTTCCAGACTTTCCAGACATACTTTGGACCTTGCAACTATTGCATTGTCCCATTCAATTCCGCTATTCTCCCTCATTCCTATTTGGGCTGCTGCTTCCTTTTATTCAGTCAGCTAGCCATTCCCAACTCCCATCCTCCTTCCATCCTCCTTGGGCCTTGGTGTCAGGGCCCGGCCTCAGACTCGGAGGCTCCCTGACCTCAACCCCCATCCAACCTGTCCTCACACTATGCAGGGCATGAGATGAGAAGAAGGGTAAGGTCTCATCTCCCCGCATGGTTGCTATATAAAGGAATGGGTCACATGCCCACAACTATACAGCTCCTAGAGTTGTGTAGTGTGACCCAGTGGGAACATCCAGGTGGCAGTGCCCAGTAAGCATGGGAATGTTCTGGGCGAGTTGCTTGCCCAGAATTGTGGCTGTGACCCATGGGAACATTCTGGGTGAGCTGGTTGCTCAGAAAGTTCCCACGCTATCCCATGTGCATGGATACACAACACAGAAAGGCAACAACAAGGCAACAATGAAGGAATGGAAGGAAGGGAGTGGTTGGGGAGTCTGGGGCACCCTAGGGCAGGGTGCTGAACCCTGACACTTGGCCCTTCACTCCTCCTTTGGGAGACACCATTGAGTCAAACCCTTGACCCTCGGTGTTGTTCCCCCTTCCAGCTCCCTTTGTCCGCTTCCAGCCTACCCTTGTTCCTGGATTGTAACCTCAGTCTGAAATCGACTTGATTCCCCCCTAAGAGACTCCCCCTTGCTAGATCCGAAATTAGCAGGTTGACTAGGCACCACTACTCCTTTTATTCTAGCAGGACAATCAGCAATGGCACAGTGCTCTGCCTGAGTCACTGAGGCTGAGGTCCTTCCACACTAAGTCTCCAATTCCATTCTGGAGTCATCTGAATCCACCCGTATCTAACAGCATTTCGGACTCCACATTGCTGTTGTCCAGCTCTGACTTCTAGCACCTGGCATCCAACTGTGATTTCACCTTCTGCAGTCAACTGCACTCTCTGCTCTGGCTTCAGGTAAGCCACCAGCACCTCCCAGCCACTCTGGGCACCCCTTCTGAAGTCCTGGAAGCAGGTTGACTAGGCACCATAGATGGCACTTGCAGCATCCTCCCTTCCCCCTTTAGGTCCCTGGAAGCACCCTCCATCCACCCATCCTAGGTTCCCTTGCAGTCCTCACTTCCATTGGCAATCTGATCCTTGTCTACATCTGCCAACTGATGATTGCACCTATCTGGAACCTCCGACCTCACCTTCTGCTTCCACACCTCTTCACAGGCATCTGAGATGCACTCGGACCCCTCTTAGGTTGACCTATTCCACTCTCCTTACCCCTGGTTCCTGGAGTTACCCTCCAGACCACACCCCACAATGGATGCAATATACCCAACTCCTTTGCAACCATCTCCTGTGATGTCTCACACCTCCAACTTCAACTCCACCTACCTCTGATACACCCCTATCCCTGGTTATTGAGGCTCTCCCTTCGGTAACACCTCCAATTGGATCTGCAGTTAAGTCCGGCCCCTTTGGCTGTTGATTTAC